CCACGATGGCATAGCATGGATGGAGCCATGGCTTTGCAAGTGGTGTCAAACAGTATAGATTCTACAGTGTGAACTTGGGCCAGGCATGCTTTCTCGGCCTCAAAGGAAAAAGCAAATCTTACCAAGGGCCCTTCCACACAACCCTATATCAAGGCAGAAAATCCCACAGTATCTGCTTTGAACTGGGTGATCTGAGTCCACACTCAGAAAATGTGGGATTTCCTGCCTTGATATTCTGGGATATAGGGCTGTGTGGAAAGGCCCTCAATGGACCTCCCCCCCCCCCAAAAAAAACTTATGGAGACCAGGTAATATGGTCTCCATAAGTTGGAAGTGAAGGCACACAACAACAAGGCTGAGACCTCACAACCTCTGAGGATGCTTGCCATAGAAATGTCAGGAAAGAATGTTTCTAGAACATGGCCATAAAGCCCGAAAAACCTACAACAACCCAAGGCTGAGAAAAATAGAGTTACAGCCTGTGCTGGATGGGGTTACACTCCCTCTGAAGATGCAGGTTCGCAGTTTGGGAGTGATCCTGGACTCATCGCTGAGCCTGGAACCCCAGGTTTCAGTGGTCACCAGGGGAGCATTTGCACAGTTAAAACTTGAGCGCCAGCTGCTCACATACCTTGGTAAGTCTGACTTGGCCATGGTAGTCCATGCTCTGGTTACATCCTATATAGATTTCTGCAACACGCTCTATGTGGGGCTGCCTTTGAAGACTGTTCGGAAGCTTCAAATGGTCCAGGTTGTTAACAGGAGCGGCACTCAGAGAGCATACAACTCCTCTGTTATGCCAACTCCACTGGTTGCCAGCTTGCTACTGGGCACAATTCAATGTGCTAGCTTTAGCCTTTAAAGCCCTAAATGGTTCTGACCCAGTTTACCTGTCTGAACGCATCTCTCCATATGAACCATTTAGGGCAGTGGTTCTCAACCTGGGGTCCCCAGATGTTTTTGGCCTTCAACTCCCAGAAATCCTAACAGCTGGTAAACTGGCTGGGATTTCTGGGAGTTGTAGGCCAAAAACATCTGGGGATCCCAGGTTGAGAACCAGTGATCTAGGCACTTCTGGGCATCTGTTGAGGCCCTGCTCTTGGTCCTGCCCCCTTCGCAGATGTGATTGGCAGGAACAAGAGACAGGGCCTTCTCAGCGGTGGCCCCACGACTATGGAACACCCTCCCTAGGGATATTAGATCGGCCCCCTCCCTCCTAACATTTAGAAAGAGAGTCAAAACCTGGCTGTTTGAGCAGGCATTTGCAGATGCAATGTAACAGACTAATTGAGATCCATGGAATGATTGGACGGTGTTTTTATGGTTTTATTGCTTTTATATGGTTTATATTATATGTAATGTTTTTAACTGTATTTATGTTGTTTGGGGGCATTGACTGCTGACTGTAAACCGCCTTGAGTTGCCTCTGGTTGAGGGAGGAAGTATATAAATATTGTAAATAAATAAATAGTGTTCCAAGAGTCCATGGATCTAGAAAGCCAAGGAGTGAAGTGTTGGCACTAAAAGCTGCCCAATTTCTTCATATTTTGTCATAACCATATCTTTCCAGGAGAGAAAAAAAATACAAAGTTCATGTTACACCTTTGTTCATGTTGTATCATAAGGCATATACAACGTTCATGTTCTATCATTATCTTTATTCAAGCTCAGTTTTGAGAGGAGTCTGCAATAGCGACCTTACTACACACATGAAGAGAATTAGGAAGGTTAGCCCCAGCTTCTGCCAACCTAGCAGTTCAAAAACATGCAAATGTGAGTAGACAAATAGGTACCACTCCAGCAGGAAGGTAACGGTGCTCCATGCAGTCATGCCGGCCACATGACCTTGGAGGTGTCTACGGACAATGCCATCTCTTTGGCTTAGAAATGGAGATGAGCACCACACCTCAGAGTCAGACACAACTGGACTTAATGTCAGGGGAAAACCTTTACCTTTACCTACCCCACAATTAAAACAGTTTGATACCACTTTGATTGCCATTGCCACCATACTAGGGAATTTTGCGGTTTAATTTCATGGGGTATTTATTATTTACATTTCTCTGGCAAAGAGTTCCAACACTGAATTTTAGGGGACTGTACTACAGAATTTCAAAAACCTTAAAAACTATAATCCCTAGAATTCTACAGAAGGGAGTGCTAAGATTGTATGGTTTACAGTATGACTACTACTACTACTACTACTACTACTAATTTTTATTTATAGCCCAGCCTCTCTCCCCAAAGGGACTCGGGGTGGCTTACAACAATCAACAGATACAGAAAATGATATAACCAATAGACAAAAAGACAACAATAAACCATTATCACTTCATACAATTAAAATTACATGATAATATAAACATTAAGAAATAGCAGTTTAAAATCTGGAAGGAAAGAGCACTTGCCATCAATAAAATTCTTGAGCATCTAAACCTGTTGAAAATGACAGGCATCTTCAAGCAGAGGCGGTCCTAGGTAATTTTCAACGGTAAGCAAACAGTATTTTGCCCCCCCCTCCCAACCAATCATTGATATATATTTTCTGTTTGTCGTGGGAGTTCTGTGTGCCATATTTGGTTCAATTCCATCATTGGTGGAGTTCAGAATGCTCTTTGATTGTAGGTGAACTATACATCCCAGTAACTACACTTGCCGCACTTGCTCCCTTGCCTGGCCCGCTTTGGGTCCGGAGGCGTGCCTGAAGACCCCGGCGTGTGCACCAAAAGTCACCTCTTCTCCTGACTTTCTCCTCAGCCATTGGGACCAAGAGAGAGGAGAGAGAGAGACAGAGGTGGAGATGCCCACCTTTCCTGAAGGTAGGCGCAAAAACAAAGGAGGGAGCGGAGGTGGGAGATACCTCCAGCCGGAGGGGCTCTCTCTCTCTCTCTCTCTCTCTCTTGGTCCCAATGGCTGAAGAGAAAGTCAGGAGAAGAGGCGACTTTTGGTGCGCACGCTGGGGTCTTCAGACACGCCTCCGGACCCGAAGCGGCTCCACCCCTTGGCCCACCCGTGGATTGGGGAGAGGAGAGGAGGCGGGGTGGAGAGCCGGGGATCGGGAAAGGGAGCCGGTCATGGGGAAGGGATCGAACGCGGAGAACGATTGAGCGCCGGCTCTGCTCGCACCGGTGGCCGGGTGGAGCAGGAACGAGAGGGGCTAGGCGAGGCTCAAGGGCCCGGCCCCTTTGGGAAGAGGATCGCCCGGCAGTGAGGCAAGAAAGCCAAGGCTCCCCCCGGACTGCTAGGGCTGTTGTCAGCTGAGGGCGCACTCCTCAAGTGGCGCTCGAGGGGCATTTACAGAGGTGCCTCTGCGCCCCTGGCAAAAAAAGTGTTCTGCGACCGCTTACTTCGCGTAATGGACGGGCCGCCCCTGTCTTCAAGCCTTCTCTAGTAATGTTTATCCATGATCCTGTTGCTCACTATTTCCTGTATGTATGGTCTGCTATGTAGCTTCCTTTACTGGATGGTTCCTATGTAACCTGTTGATAGCTGTATTGTTATAAGAGATGCCCTGGCCAGATGGCACAGAGAATTATCTCAAATATATCTGAAATGGACAGATAAGTTTTGCATCTGTGTATGCTGAACACATCAAGGTTGTGAGTAAACCAAATATGTTATTTTAATCCAAGTCTCCTTCATTTTTGTCTCCTGAGTGCATGATATAAATCAAGTTGTTTTATGGGAGAATATATTTTTTGGGCAACTGAAAAACACTTATAAAACTATGCTGTTTTATGCACTGGCAAATCTCTGTTTGCCTAACACCTCAGAGATAACAGATTAATCAGTCTAACAACTGAAACCATTGCCTTGCATACTTATATCTGGTTGTATACCATAAGAGAAGATTCTACTCTAAAGAGTTTTTGGCTCTTCTTTAAAAGACCTTTTCCAAAAGTTTATGAATGCCATTTTCCAAAAACAAAACAAAACACAACACCAAAACAACACAAACAACATGAAAACAATATAAAACAATACAACACAAAAAAACAAAACAAAGACAAAACAACACAAAACAAAAAACCCCAAGAAAAACAAAAACAAAACAACAAAAACAAAAAAACAAGAACAACATAAAACCAACACAAAACAAAACAACAAAAACAAAAGCAGAGTTTCTCAACCAGGGCCCTTGAAACATTAGGGAAAAGCTGATCCAGATGAATAGTGGGAGTTGAGGGCTTTCTAGATGTTGCTGAACTGAAGCTCCCTACAGTCTGCCTCATTAGCTTATGTTCACACAAGACCGCTGAAGGTTGCAGTTCAACCATATCTGAAAAGTGAAATTGTAACAAGAATGTGTGGCTCTCAACATGCTTTAGACTGGGATTCCCATCATCCCTTGCCACAGTCTCCTGGCAAGGGCTGTTAAGAGTTGGAGTTCACTATCATCCAGAGAGTCCTATTTCTGTTGTGTGCTTTCAAGACATTTCTGACTACGGCAAGCCTATCACAGAGTATTCCAGCCATTTGTCTTTAGGCTGGGAATGTGATCCGGTGAAGGTTGCTCAGTCAGTTTCCATGGCTGAGTAGATTTTCAAACCCTGGTCTCCTAAGTCATACCCCAAGGCCCCATCTACATTGCCATATAATGCAATTTCAGAATACAGTTGCATTGTGGAGACACATATAATCCAGTTCAGTGCAGTTAAACAGCAGTCTGAAATGGCATTGGATGGCAGTAAAGATGGGGCCCAACTCTTACCTACTATACCTTTTTGGCTCCCCATTCTACATTCTCCACTTTTTATCTATTGCCCAAATCAGAGTGGCGGTTGCCTGCCTATCTTTCACTTTCATCTGACAGGCTTCTAGGCAGGAAGTTTTTCCCTCTACTAAATGCTCTCTTGCATCAGCTGTGAAACCAGCACCCTTTCTCTCTTGCCTGTCTTTGTTCCCTCTCTCCAGCTCCCTGTCTTTGTCTATTGTTCAGGGATCAGCTTAGCAGCTCTCCTTTGTCCCATCTTGTTCATTTCTTCCCTGGCTTGACATACCGTCTTCCAAACGTGGCTCGAATTCCACCTCCGGGATCTGCTTCTCCCCGATAGGACTTGAATATTTGACTTTTGATTTCAGCCTTGCCCTGTCTAGCCTTATGTAGCCTTGAGGCCATTTCAGGAACCTGCCCTGGACGGTGTGTTCTGCATGACAAGACCCATTTCCTGACAGCGCAGCCTCTGCAGATTGGCTCAAACTGCGCCGAATGTTCTATGCACGCTTGTGTCTGCCCTGCTAATGGCTTTAGACAGATGTGCCTGGGAGGCCCGATTTCTTGTTCAGGTAATCCATCTCTTGGAGGCTCCTTCTGAAATGAGGCCTTAATAATTCTTCCTTGTTGCGAAAACTGCCGGATCAGAGTCAGGGAGTATTTGGAAAAGGCCTTCCTCTTTTACTCATCATTTTCTTTCTTTTTAAAATTATGGATCAGATGAGTATTCTCTATTCAGCCACTATGGAGTAGAGGGTAGAGTGCTGGACTTGTGGCATCCAGGTTGTAGTCCCAATTGAGCTATGAAACTAATTGGGCAGCTTTGATGCATGCTGCACTATAACTCCCATTCCTCCACATACACCTTGGTGCTTATGGGAGTTGTAGTCAAGCACAACTGAAGTTGAAGTAAGGGATTGCTTTCATGTTATTACATATGCCAACTTTTTTGGATTGGCATTCTCCAGCAATGAGCAACAAGTTATTTTAAACTTTGGAAGGTTGTCATGAACTTCCCATCTATATACAGTAGAGTCTCTCTTATCCAATATAAATGGGCCAGCAGAATGTTGGATAAGCGAAAATGTTGGATAATACGGAAAAGCCTATTAAACGTCAAATTATGTTATGATTTTACAAATTAAGCACCAAAACATCATGTTTTACAACAAATGGACAGAAAAAGCAGTTCAAAACATGGTTTGTTACGTAGTAATTGCTGTATTTACAAATTTAGCACCCAAACATCACAATGTATTGAAGCAGTTGTGGATCTGGGTGGGAGGCAGACTGCGTTGGATAATACAGAATGTTGGATGAGTGGAGGTTGGATGAGCAAGACTCTACTATAAATAAAAATGTAAATGTCTGTTTAAGAATCACCTCAAATCTTCCAAAATACTTCACCGATTGCTTCAAAATTTGGACACAACAAAGCATTCGAACACGCGAGAGTTTTTATATATTCACATACCTACTATTATATAGATGTTACACCTGTGACAGGTAAAAACATGCTTGCCATCAAAAACAGCGCCATCTGCTGGATGGTAGGGAAATCCAGGCTGGAGAGAGGGGCAGGGCATGGGTCCAAGGGAGGGAGGCAGGCAGGCAGGCAAGGAGGTAGGCTCAGCCCAAGTCCCGGGCTCCTGTAACCTCACACCTTGCCTGGCCTTTCCCGGCACTGCCTCACACCCATGCTTCCAGGAAGACTGGAGGCTCAGAAGGAAGGAAGGTTTGAATGGTAAGCTTGGCTCTTTTTAAAGCCATCTGTGCTTGGTCCTTGGCTCTCCTCCTCTGAACCTCCATCCCCAGTTCCCGCCACCCTACCCCTGCCTTCAAGTCCAGCTGGAGCCACCATTTGGGATCCATGGCCTGATCACCCCTACTGACCCTGCCTCCCGCCGGAGCAGAACCAGGTGTGGTTGGGCACAGGCCCAGGGGAGAGAGGGAAGGAGGCAGGCAAGGAGGTATGCCCAGCCCAAGCCCCGGGCTCCCATAGCCTCATGCCCTGCCCAGCCTTGTCCAGTACCGCCTCATGCCCGCACCTCCAGGAAGACTGGAGACTCAGAAGGAAAAAAGGATTGACTGGTAGGAAGGAAGAGATGGATAGGAGAGAAAGAAACACACTGATCATTATTATATAGACCAATATCATATATATAATAGATTATATAAGCTAGTATTATTATTTACACCATTATTATTATTATTATTATTATTATTATTATTTCACAGACAATGGAACAACAAAAAATATTGTATACCCACAAGCATTATGAAATTACATATATTAGAAAGCACCACTTTCTTCTTTTTCCATTTAACCAGACTGAGCCACAGCAATGTGCCGCCGCGTACAGCTAGTTAGAATATAAAGAAAAAGACAAAAGAAATTTTAGTGCAGCTACCCAGATGTTTTTAGCTTACAACTTATCCAGCATAGCTCATGGAAGTTACCATGAAACAACATCTGGTGGGTCAAACAATTCCATCTCCTGTGCTAGAAGCATATCTTTACCAGATGATACATAATGATAGTATTGTTTAAAGACTGCCCCGTCATTAGATAAGACAATGTATAGAACTACATGACTTGCATTGTTGATTTTCCCACATCAAATCATTTGCACAGTAATTAAGGAGCCTAGTTTTTGTTTGTTTGTTGTTGTTGTTGTTCATTCGTTCAGTCATCTCCGACTCTTCGTGACCTCATGGACCAGCCCACGCCAGAGCTCCCTGTCGGCCGTCACCACCCCCAGCTCCTTCAAGGTCAGTCCAGTCACTTCAAGGATGCCATCCATCCATCTTGCCCTTGGTCGGCCCCTCTTCCTTTTACCTTCGACTTTCCCCAGCATAATTGTCTTCTCTAGGCTTTGCTGTCTCCTCATGATGTGGCCAAAGTACTTCAACTTTGTCTCTAGTATCCTTCCCTGTCCTTCCTATTCTGTTGTCTTCTTCCACTTCCATGCATTGCTTATTTACAAATAGTTCCTTATCTCTTCTGGCTAACCTCTGGAATTGCGCATTTAACTGGGCATATCTCCCCTTATCCCTGTTTCCTTTTGCTTTCCTCCTTTCTTGGGCTACTTCCAGTGTCTCAGCAGACAACCATTTTGCCTTCTTGGTTTTCTTTTTCTTTGGGACGTACTTTGTTGCCGCCTCCTGAACAATGTCGCGGACTTCTGTCCATAGCTCTTCTGGGACTCTGTTTACTAAATCTAGTCCTTCAAATCTGTTCTTCACTTCCACTGTATATTCGCTAGGAATGTTAGTGAGATCATATCTAACTGGTCTGTGTGTTTTCCCTGATCTCTTTAGTCTGATTCTAAATTGTGCAATAAGAAATTTGTGATCTGAACTACATTCAGCCCCAGATGTTGGTTCTCACTGACTGGATGGATGTCCGCCACCTTTGGCTACAAAGGATGTAGTCAATCTGATTTCGGTGTTGACCATCTGGTGAGGTCCATGTGTAAAGCCGTCTTTTAGGTTGTTGGAAGAGAGTATTCGTTATACACAGCGAGTTTTCCTGGCAAAATTCTATCAGCCTGCGTCCTGCTTCATTTTGTTCTCCCAGACCATGCTTGCCTGTGATCCCTGTTGTCATTTGACTTCCCACCTTGGCATTCCAGTCTCCTGTAATGAAAATAATGTCTCTTTTTGGTGTATTATCCAGTAGGTCCTGCAGATCCTCATAGAACTGATCTACTTCTGCTTCTTCAGCAGCTGTGGTTGGGGCGTATATTTGGATCACTGTGATGTTGAAAGGCTTTCCTTGCACTCGAATTGAGATCATTCTGTCATTTTTTGGGTTGTATCCAAGCACCGCTTTAGCAAATTTCTTATTAATTATGAAGGCTACTCCATTTCTTCGATGTTCCTCTTGTCCGCAGTAGTAGATCTGGTGGTCATCTGATGTGAAGTGGCCCATTCCAGTCCACTTCAGTTCGCTGACCCCCAGAATGTCTATCTTTAGTCTTGACATCTCACCAATAACAACATCCAATTTGCCCTGGCTCATAGATCTTACATTCCAGGTTCCTATGGTGTGTTGATCTTTAGAGCATCGGATTCGTCGTTCACCTCCAGTACCGTCGGCCGCTAGCCTTCCTTGCGGCTTTGAGCTAGCTGCGTCATCACATCTGGGGCTAGTTGAACTTATCCTCTGCTCCTCCCCAGTAGCATTTTGGCCATCTTCCGACCTGGGAGTCCCATCTTCCAATGGCATACCGACATATCTCTGGTTGTACTGGTCCATTTAGTTTTCTTGGCAAGGATACTGGGGTGGTTTGCCATTGCCTTCCCCAGGGATCACGCTTGGTCTGACCTCTCTGCCGCGACCGTCCTGTCTTGGGTGGCCCTTCACGGTTTCGCTCATGACATCATTGAGGTGCTCAAGCTCCAGTGCCACAACAAGGCGGTGATCCTTTGCTGGAGATAGTTTTTGTTAGCTGCGGCAAAAACAAGAAAACCAGTTAGCTGGGCAGTCATTTAAGTTTAAGGCATGGGAGCAGAGGGAACAAGATGGGCAAAAATATTCCATTCCCATGGCATCTAAGGAAGATAGCCGTTTAATGCTATTTTGGGGCTCCTTCTTTCATAAAGCTTCGCCACTAAGCACAGTAGTTAAGAAATCATTGTTATGACATTGCGTTTTCCACCAGCTACTGATTTCCCCCCTTAGAAGCATAATTCCCTCTACGGATTTTAGAAAACATTCAAGACACTACTGTTCTGTGTATGTGAAGATGGTGATCATTATGCCATCCAAGTGGCAAGACCTGTGCTATGGGATCATTATTCTGGGAAGGCACACTGGAACAACCATGTCTTCAAGCTCCTCCTAAAGACTGCCAGGGTTGGGGCCTGCCTGATGTCCTTAGGGAGTGAATTCCAGAGTCGAGGGGCCACCACCGAAAAGGCCCTCTCTCTTGTCCCCACCAATCGCGCCTGCGATGCTGGTGGGATCAAGAGCAGGGCCTCTCCAGATGAACGAAGAGATCGTGTGGGTTCGTATACAGAGATGCGATCACGCAGGTAGGCGGGTCCCAAACTGTTCAGGGCTTTGTAGGTAAGAACCTGCACCTTTAATTGGGTCCGGTAGATGAATGGCAGCCAGTGAAGCTCCTTGAACAGGAGGGTTGACCACTCCCTGTAAGGAGCCCCAGTTAACAACCTGGCTGCCGCCCGTTGGATCATCTGAAATTTCCAGGCCGTTTTCAAGGGCAGCCCCACATAGAGTGCATTGCAGTAATCCAGTCTAGAGGTGACTAAGGCGTGGACCATCTTTGCCAGATCCGCCTTCCCGAGGTACGGTCGCAGTTGGCGCACGATTCTTAATTGTGCAAAGG